TTTGATATTATTAGCTCGTCTGCATGTAACGAAAACTAGAAAAATGCCTACCCTAAACTTGGGCACACACATATACACATCCTCTCCCCCTCCCTTTCTGTTTTTTAGTTTTTCGTTTAATTAGGTTTTACGCTTCTTACTGTCCTCCATTTCAACATTGTGTATCCTTTTTTTTAAATCATTTTATTAGCATTGTGTATTCTTGATGGAATATTTTTTATTTAATTAAAGATTTACAGTGTATTAACTTGCTAATATCAAAATACGTAAAGGATATTGTATTGAAAAAATCTGTAGATTCTTTAGTTATATAAATATGCTAAAATTTAGTATTTTCATAAAAAAACTTCCAGTTAAATGTAGAAAATTGAACAATTGACTTTCGCTATGCATGAGACAGCTGCAACTTAGACCTGCTGGAAGGGGGAAGGAACTGGTAAGAAGTACAAGTCATTTTGTACCCAAGAACACTCGCTGGAAGGGCTCAGGAATTTGAGCACTGAGTATCTCTGAAGTGGAATTTGAAGTAGGGTTGAAAACAGAAGGATTGAGTGAAAGTCTTCAAAAGAAGCAGTTACATTTCTCAAATGTTTCTCTCTCATGCAATATAACCACCTTGGGAGAACTTAACTCTTTATAGAGCCTGAAATAAATGAAGGTTTTAGGTTAGCTGAAGACAGGACTTGAGAGCCTGTACTAAAAACAGGTGGAGAAGTAATGGGCCACATAATGAAAGACAACATTTTGAGTAGTGAGACCTCCGACCTTCTTCCTTTTCTGAACTCAAAAAATGTTTGAAATAGGTTAATGTACCCTGGGAAAAGGCTGAATGATTTCCTTTTAGGGAAACTAGTCAAAGAGAAAAATCCTAACAGATTCTGAGAGAGAAACAGAATGTGCAGTTAACATGTGTAATGATGTTACTATTGCTTTGGATTTTTATTTTTCAGGCTGGCAAACTAAAATAAGTTGTTATAAGCTCTAATCAAGCAGTTTACACTAAAAGAATGTAGGTAAAATACACTACCTAAGTCAGCTGTAGCATTTACAAAGTTCTGGTGCAGACACTGAAATGTTGATTTAATGTTTAAAAAAAAAGGATAACTTTAGTGGAAGGGTGAGGGAAGGAAAGGAGTGTGTGTTATTCAAGAGCCAACCCCTTTTGTGGTCAGTGATCAAAGATCTAAACTGGAAAAGATAAATAGCTGTATTAATGTGTTCTTTAGAAATCTGAAGTGAATTTCAGGAAAAGAACAGCTAAAATAATTGAGTTATAATCAAAAGCTCTCCTTCAAGGAGTAGAAATTGAGATCAGAGTCATCATGATAGATGTCTGAAAGAAATGTGCAGAACCCATGTCTGACCTCTTCTGGTTTCTCTATTGCCTTGCGGCAAGGGGTCAGGTATGTCTCCACCCGCCATCTTTTCTTTGCCCTATCTGACATAGGTGTTCTCTCTGAATTTTACTTTTCTCCTGGGTTCAGTCTTTCATCAAGTGGCCAGACAGAACTCATAGACAATATTCAGAATTAAGGAGGTTTATTTGGAGCATTGGCAAACTCCTGTGGTGTGGTGAGTTATGCAATGGGCTGCTAACCACAAGATCAACGGTTTGAAACTACCAGCTGTGAAGAGGGAGGAAGATGAGGCTTTCTTCTCCCGTGGAGAGTTAAAGTCTGAGACCCACGGGTGCAGTTCTTCCCTGTTCTATCATATCCCTATGAGTCAGAATTGACTCGATGGCAGTAAGCGTGTTTTTTTGTTTTGCATTTTTTATTAGGGATGCTAACAGGTCAGTATCATTCATCGGTCCATAGCAATACCTCTTCTCAGCCAGCAACCCAGTCTCTCTGTGGGCCAGGAAGCCAACTGCTGCTCTGCCTCACAGTTTCACGGGATTGGTGCCACTCCCCTGTTAAGCCTCATGGTTTCTTTACCTTGGACTCTGATCTCAGCCTCGTTTTTTTGCTCTGCCCCCATGGTCTCCATGCTGCAGCCTCTGGTGCTTCCACTACTTCGAACAGAGATTTCTAATGTGCTCTACTGGTGGTTCCTCCGATGATCCTAGGATTTCTGTGCCCCTACTTCTGAGATAGATCCTACCTCAGAGGCTCTTTGATGGAATCAGCAGAATCATACTCCCATAGGAAAGGAAGAGAGGGAGCTTGGTTCATACCCTCTCATAAGGTGGGGACTTAATCCTGTCTTTAGCAGAGAACTCCCTCCAAGATAGGAATATCTCTGGTCTTCCATCGAGTTGAATCTGACTCATAGTGATCCCATAGGACAGGGTAGAACTATCCCTGAGTGTTTCCAGCACTGTTTAATTGACATAAGCTACACATCATACAATTTAGTAGTTCAATCACGTCAAGATAAAGTTGTACAATCATCACCACGATCAGTTTTAGAATATTTTCTTCATTATTTTCACTGTCATTAATTCCCCATTTCCCCCCAACCTCTCCTGCCAGCCCCCATAAAGACTGTAACTATTTATGAGAGTAGGAGGCTATCTCTTTCTTCCATGGAACAACTGGTGATTTTGAACTGCTGACCTTGTAATTAGCAGCCCAGCTCATAATTGACTATGCTACCAGAGCTCCTATAGCAATAGGCATAGAGACTGTATAATATATCACTTAAAAGATAATGGCCAGATGAGCCGTATTAATCAACTATATCAATACTAATACAGTCTTATAATATTTAAGAGGAAATAAATATGAAAATCTAAATTATAATAATTATAATTATGTAGTATGCTTTAAAATGAAAATATCTGGCATGAATGAAAAGGTTTTGGAAGGCAATGGAATAGTCTCAATGCAAAGGGAGAGCTGTTGAACAGCAGCCTATGTTAGCATTGAATGGCATCACTGAACACGACTTTCTGAAATGACGAACTCTTGATAAACGTGTTCTCGATTTACATGGTATTTGCATTTATGACAAGTTTATATATGGCAAATATATCCGTAAATGTGGTGGAGCATACCGGGACCAAAGTTTTAGAAACTTAGTGCATATAACCAAACACCTTGAGGGAATGAGTCACAGAGTCTGGGGCTCAGGACCATGATATAAGGAGACACCAAGGTCCGTCGGTACGACAGAGTTTACCAAACCGTGTTCCTCAAAGCTCATGAGCAGCCATCTGAGATGTAACTATTTGCCTCTCCCCAGAGGAAAGCAAAGTGAAGAAAATCAAATGCAAGTGGAAATAATTACTTCCATGGATTAACGGACCACACTATCGACCTCCATGACCCTGAGACCAGAATTAGATAATGCTCCTGCCAACCAGCTCTGAAAGGCATCCCAATAGGACGTCCACTGCCATCGACCATAGTGACTCTATACAGCACAGAGTAGGACTGCTCATTAGACTTTTCAAGATTATAAATAGGCAAACCTGTCCCTTGGGGGAGACTGGAGTGACTGGGGGGAAGGGGTGTTGCTGCAAATACAAATACCTACGATTTATCCCAGATTATGGGCTATAGCACAAAAGTTTTTTGCCAGGGGAGCGTGGAGTAATTTTTTTCCTGAAAAGGAGGTAGTAGGCCAAATAAGTTTGGAAACCTATGGTGTACATTTTTTTTTTTTTGGTGTACATTTTTAAGGGAGCAGATAGCATCATCTTGATCCAACGGAGTAGCTGATGTGTGTAAACTGCTGACCTTGTGCTTAACAGCCCAACGCCTAGCCCACAAAGGGATCACAATAAGGCGTTCCTAGATGGGGTAGGAAGAAAAATGTGAAACAAAACTCAGAATCATCAAAGACCATTCCCGCTCAAGTAGAAAGAAAATGTTTTGAGAATGATCATGGCAACAATGTACAAATGTGCTTGACACAATGGATGGATGTATGGATTGTGATTAAGAGTTGTATGAGCCCCCAATCAAATGATTTCTTTAAAAGCCACCCTTTGTGTCTGGAACTAAACTCACTCCTATTGCACAATTTTCAGCAAGCAGTAAGTTTATAAGGAGAATAATCACATTAGGGAGGTATGCTCTCCTTAGTATAATCACTCATTTGAAACCAAATGGCAGCACTTACCCCAGGACACGTTCAGGAAGTTTAGACAAGAAGGAATGAACATAGCAACCCTGGGGAGGAAGTGGTGGGATAAGAGATATTACATTGTGGCGATTGCAATGACAAGGTGAAATAGTGTGTGTGAACTGTTGAATGGAAAACTGATTTACTCCAAAACCTTCACCCCTGATTCACAATATTTTTTTTAAGTTTATATGCAAGGGGACTTCAAAACTTCCACGAAAAATTGTAATGTAATTGAAAGATACTGGATTTTTCCCATGAATTTTCTGAAGCCCCCTCACGTTGAAATGATCAAGGTGGTTTTTGTCTTTTTTTGTGGTTATATATAATAAGGAATTGGGTTCTCAGTTCACAAAATTAGAAAGTTTTCCGTATACATGGGTGTGTGGGGATATGCTAAAGTTCTCTCCAACATAAGGTAAGTTCTTCATGTTGAAGAACTTAAAACTTTCATGCTGACTCCTTTTTTAATGTGAATGATCAATGCTTTCTGGAGTACAGAATCAGCATTTTTTGTATATTTTCCACAACAGATTAACAAAGAGTTGCAAAATTTTACAAATCCAGATATTTATAATAAAAACATTTTTTTGTAACCGATTCCAGACTTTTATAGCAAACTTCAAAAGTTTGGAGGCTTGTTTGTTGATTACAGTTCAATATCCTTTTTTTCCCCCATATCGCTTTAAAATTAACATTCTAGAAAGAAACTGTTTTGGAAATGGTGATGCAACATATGTAGAAATGTGCATGATGCAGTTGATGTATGGATTGTTATAAGAGCTGTAAGAGCCCCCAATAAAATGATTTATTAAAATAAATGAATAAATGAAATAACATTCTATACATGAACAACATATAATAGACTTACTATTGTAAAATACATTCATAATGAATTGTACTTTTCTGTGTTTGTTTCTCCTAATTAGCTCCTGGGCTATAGTGAAAAACCAATAAATCTGCAGATGTTTATTGGGACAGCAGATGACCGATATTTACGACCTCATGCATTTTACCAGGTGCATCGAATCACTGGGAAGACTGTTGCAACCGCAAGCCAAGAGATAATAATTGCTAGCACAAAAGTTTTGGAGATTCCTCTTCTTCCTGAAAACAATATGTCAGCCAGGTATCTTGAAGTGTCCAGTAAATGATGGTGTAATACATTTGCTCAGGAGGGTAACATAATTTCAGGAAATCGCACCAGGTGTTTGTGGCTCCATAAGTCAATGGGGCTCTAAGACCATCTTGCCCACTGTGTTGTGTACTCAGACAGTGGCAGTTCTACCCTGTCCTGTAGGGTCGCTATGAGTTAGCATAGACACGATGGCAGTGAGTTTGTTTTGTTTTCAAAATTATTCCCTTTGGTGATTTTTTTTTTCTTCTCTGTGTCTTTCTAAAGTTGAAAATATTTGAAAAGTTGTGAAAACTTTGGTTTTTAAAATTTTTTTGTGGTTTCCTGGTTCTTGATAACGTAGTTCTATGTTTGTCCATCAAAAGAGATTTCTGCAGTCCCTGAGCAGTGATCTCGAGGTTTGAACTCATGGTAGATAAAGTAAAAGTGAAAACAAGGAAAGTCGTAGTGAATAAATTTTAACTAGAATATCTGACCATTTGCTTATTTTACTCTTCCTATATATCATTGAAGAACATGGTTAGTGATTTCCTACCATGGTTGTATGTTAAATAGTCACACTTAGTAATAACTTTTGAAAACAATGAAATGGTAAAACAAATGTAGCACCTCAGTTTTGTGTTCCTTATAAATTCAAGAATTATGACCTGATGAATTATTTTATTAATAAATTCAGTACTATAATTAGACTTTAAAAAATTAATTCAAATGGTTATCTTAAAAAAACATTATTATTTCAGTTAGATATATCGATGGCTTATTCCTGCAAATAAGTATTTTCTGACCTAGTTGAATGTATGACAGGAGTGTTTTTACTGTTTCAGTTATTTAATTCTGTGTAACAGACCACCCCAAATTTATTGATTTTTTAAAAACTTTTAATTCTTTGTCATGATTCTTGTTGTTGATTGGGCTTGGCTGGTTGATTACTCAGCATTTGACTGAGGTCTTTCATGCACCTAGATTCAGCTGGACTTGGAACATCAGGGTGGCTGGAGTGTCTTGAACAGATGCGCATTACCTGGGCTTTTTCTCTCTGCTCAGCTAGTTGAACTTACACAGTAGCTCAGAGCTCCAAGGGAGCAAAAGAAACTACCAGGTTTCTCTAATGCTAGGCTCATAATTTGCAAAGCATTGCTTTGTCATAGTATTTATCAAAGCAAGTCATTAGCTCAGCTTTCTTTTTTAAAAAATAATTTTATTGGAGGCTCATACAACTCTTATCTCAATCCATACATAAATCCATTGTGTCAAGCACATTTGTAGTCATCATCATTCTCAAAACATTTTCTTTCTACTTGAGCCCTTGGTATCAGCTCCTCATTTTCCCCCCCTTCCTCTCCCATCCTCCCTCCCTCATGAACCCTTGATAATTTATAAATTATTATTTTTTCATGTCTTACGCTGTCCAATGTCTCCCTTAACCCACTTTTCTGTTGTCCATACTGCAGGGAGGGGTTATATGTAGATCATTGTGATCGGTTCCCCTTTTCTCCCCCACCTTACCCTTACCCTCCTGGTATCACTACTCTCTTTTTTTGGTGCTCAGGGGTTTATTTGTCCTGGATTCCCTGTGTTTCCAGCTCTTATCTGTACCAGTGTACATCCTCTGGTCTAGCTGGATTTGTAAGGTAGAATTGGGATCATGATAGTGGGGGGTAGGAAGCACTAAAGAACTAGAGGAAAGTTGTATGTTTCATTGGTGCTATACTGCACCCTAACTGGCTTTTCTCCTCCCCGCGACCCTTCTGTAAGGATCCAGTTGCGTACAGATGGGCTTTGGGTCTCCACTCTGTATTCCCCCTCATTCTCAATGATACGATTTTTTTGTTCTTTGATGCCTGATGCCTGATCCCTTTGACAACTTGTGATCACACAGACTGGTGTGCTTCTTCCATGTGGGCTTTGTTGCCTCTCAGCTAGATGGCCGCTTGTTTATCTTCAAGCCTTTAAGACCCCAGACGCTACAGCTTTTGATAGCCGGGCACCATCAGCTTTCTTCACCACATTTGCTTATGCACCCACTTTGTCTTCAGTGATTGTGTTGGGAAGGTGAGCATCATGGAATGCCAAGTTAATGGAACAAAATGTTCTTGCATTGAGGGAGTACTTGAGTGAAGCCCAATGTCCATCTGCTAACAAGGTCACCTTTCAAGGAGAATGGGACATCGTCTCTTAATTGGGGAGGAACAGGAAAGAAATCTAGAAATTAGGAGCAATTTACTGACAGCTGTCTTTGCAGTCAGTCAATCCACCAAGAGAAACGAGAATAGCAACCATACATATCTCATCTGGCCTGATAGTAGATAGTGACAATTTTTCCTGCCAAATTCACCTTATCTGGTTGCTGACTTGTGATAGATTATTATTGGTTATCAATAAGCAAATAAACATTTTCCATTTTTCTCCTAGTATTGACTGTGCAGGTATTTTGAAGCTTCGGAATTCAGATATAGAACTTCGAAAAGGAGAGACTGATATCGGCAGAAAGAATACTAGAGTACGACTTGTATTTCGGGTGCACATCCCCCAGCCTAATGGAAAAGTTCTTTCTCTGCAGATAGCTTCTATACCTGTTGAATGCTGTAAGTGAGCATGTGGTGATGTTTTAAGATTTTGTTTATAGTAGGTTTCTTTCTGTTTTGCTGGTATCACAAATAGAAACTGAGGTACGTACAAGATCAGAGTACTGGTGTGATTTTCTTGGAGTGAGGTGAACTAACATGTTGGGAAGCCTCTTAGTCTTGGAATTAAGCTGGTTTCTCAAAGTCATTTTTCCCTATGTAGTGGTATTGTAATGATAGATACAATCTCTTGACCATACTTTTCCTATGTTTAAATGAGGGAGGTGAGCTTGGTGACATTTGGGGACTGAATCATGAAGCTGTGACTCTTGATACTGTATTACTTGGCCTTTGGCTCTTTAAAATGCCAGCCTTCATATTGGAAGATGCCTATCTATGTATGCAGACTCTTCAGCCAAATAAGAATATGCAGGCTTTTGTTTTTGTTTCTCTACAATAATTATTTACAACATCAGATTGAGAAGTGCTCACTTTTATCCCAATTTACAAAGCAAGGTAGGAGAAAAGGTCCTTGGATCTGTTATCTACTCAAGCCCTGGAGTACTGTGCATCACAGAGGGCAGGTTAGCTGGTCTGACTGAAATACTGAGACTGGTGTTTAGATCTCTAGAGCGTAGACCTAGAAATGTTCCAATTCCATGCCTTAATATTACATAAGAGAAACTGATACACGCAGTTATCTCAAGTACTCATCCAGGGTTACTTGCTTGTTGGTGACAGAGCTGTGTGCCTCGTACACAAATGTCCTGAAGACTTTCAGTCATTGTATTGTTTTATTTCTATAAGCCACATGCATTTTTATTAATTTGTGGTGTTTTTATTTATATTATCATAAGCATCTTATAATATCATTCTTTAGTCTCTAAAAGTAGTCTTTAATTCATGCACAGTATTGTAATTGGTTATGCCATCTATTGAGCACATTTTTATCTATCATTAGAATGTACCTATGATACCTATTTTCTACCATAAATATTTAAAATTTGAATTTGTCTACTCCCTAAAGCAATCAATACATGCTCTTTTCTTCTGAGACATTTGCAACAGTGGGAACATAACTATTTTCTGAGATGTAAGTTGGTACCTGATCACAATCCCGGACCGTTCTCCTATGAAAGGATCTGTTTTAATATTATCGTTGATTGGGAAGAGCTCCCAATTCACATACCTGACAGGGTGTTAGGTTGTTGGAAAAGACAGAAGGCATAGTAAACTTCCCTGAAGGCATTCAAGTTTAAGTTTCTTATAATGCTCGCAACTAAAGCACAGTTTACCGACAGAGTGACCAGTCTTCACTCAAGTAGTAGGACTGAAAGTAAGCCTGTTTTCCAAATGTGAAGTAGAGTATAGTCAGCACTTTTTAATCTAGAGTGAAACCGAGACATGTAGGCACTTGACAAGGTGGTGGGACATCATCTAAGCATTCAAAAGAAATGTAATGTATATCTTAAAGTTTAAGATGTTTCCCCCAAAGCACTAGGATCTTCAGAAAGTAACAGAACCAGTTAATACAAGAGAAGAATGGCATCAAAGATACTGTTTATAAAAGTCATTAATTTAAATAATGACCCTTAAGGTTTATGAAGAATTAGATTGTTGTATGTTATCTTGGAAGGCAAAGAAAGGTGCAGTGTCTTTTCAAAAGATTTACATCCATTAAAAATATTCAGTACCAAAAAACAATTAATAGTGCAAATTCTGTATGCTTTTATTTAGAAAGGTGACCAAAATAAAATCCTGATATCTCAATAATACTGGATGAATACCTTTTTAATCCAGGGTTTTTGTTTTTATTTAATGAAAGGGCTGTTTGTCCTATAATAATTCCTCAGAAACTTGTCTTCTCTTAATTATATGCAATATACGTGTACACTATTTTTTTTACTATATTTTGTAATAGATTGGTGAATTTTAGACAAATATTTGTGTGGAAGAAATGTATTTAAAACGTAAACCCGAAAGAGAAAAACAGATGAATGTGGTGGAGCCAATATGAAGTTTTTTTAATAGTTATTTTTTTTCAGCAGTAGTCTAAAAAAGTAATTTAACTATATAAATATAAGGAATATTTTGTTTTTTCAAAACTTTGATATTTGCGGGCATTAATCATTATCATTGTCTTAAGTTCTAAAAGCCTGAATAATATTGCGTACCTAATATTGTGACAATAGAGAGTACAACTAAATTATCTTCATTTTTACACAATGAGCAGTATTTATATTCATATTTTTTAAAATAAAATATATCTTGTCTAATGGGCATATTAATCCCAGGATTTACTTCTCTGTATTTTCATTTTATAACTTGAGCTTATTATTTATGTATGAAAGATCACAAACTAATCTTTTGTTTCTTCTCATTTTGGGGGGGGAAACAAACAGCCCAGCGGTCTGCGCAAGAACTCCCTCATATTGAGAAGTACAGTATCAACAGTTGCTCTGTAAATGGAGGTCATGAAATGATCGTGACTGGATCAAATTTTCTTCCAGAATCCAAAATCATTTTTCTTGAAAAAGGACAAGGTAAACAATATAATATTTGAGTTGATTTGAGTCTTTATCTGTTGAGAATTTTTTAAAAATTGTGACTTTTACAAACTTAGAATAGATTTTCACAATATTAAAATTAAAGTGTAGAGAATATGAACAGTTGGCATTTTCTCTTGTGGACAGAGAAATCAGAAATGAAAAATTATCAGACATTTTTGTTAAATTATCATAAATTTATCTTTTGAAATTTAGTAAATTTTTAAAAATTTAGTAAAGAGCGTATATAATAAAAGATAATGTAGTTAAGCAGAACTTGTAGCTGTTTTGCTTTGTATAGTCTCAATAACAACCAAATACACAACTTAAAGAAGTAGCTGTTGTTTTCACTATTTTTTTTT